GTACAATAATTTATCTTTAGTAGTTGTAGGAAAAAGGTAGTCATGTAAAGGTGAAAACCAAACAATAATGGTATAAGTATATTTAGAAGTATGGAGATAAAAATTTCAAAACACAATTTACTGATACTGAGTGATAAGAAAGAGAATGTAGAGGGGGAAGAAAGAAAAAACATTAATCATTAATCTTCATATGATGTTAACAGATACCATTTAAATAAGAAACAAGAAGTTGTATAAATTATATACAGCTGTAAAAGTTTCATAGCTATGGCTTACATACTATTCATTCTCATTCTCTCCTTATTTCTAACTAGAGAATGCTAATTTTATTAGTAGCAATAATAAGCTCTTTTAAAGAATAGTATTCCCCAGATTCCGATTCAGAAAGGTAAACCAATTATACCATAACAAGGGTGATAGAGGCCTTTGCGAAAACCTTTTAAAGGAGTTCAGTCAGGTTTCTCTTCCCTCTGGCCTATAAGGCAACTCTTAGGAAGCCATGTTTTAGGTATAGTAGGGTAGGAAGACAGAGAATGTCTGAGCCCCTAATGTTCTAGAAATTATGTAAGCTCCAAACTGTCTTCCTATTTTTTACAAGAGAGAACGATAAACCCATATTGTTTAAACTTATATTTTGGGGATTTATATTATATGTCACTGAATAGAATCCTAAATAATTCAGAATGAATTATAGGAAATGAGGTACTCTAGCGATAAAACCTAAATTATGTATGTGTTGACTGGAGTTGATGGGAGGCAAATACTAATGACTTAGACTCTGTAGGCTGGAAAGCTACTGAGTCCTGTTATCTATGGTAGAATTGTTGTTGTTGTTGTTGTTGTTATGTGCCGTTGAGTCGGCCCCGACTCATCTAAATGGACAATTATCACCTTAAAAAGCAAACTACGTTCTCACTAAAACTGTAAAACCAGAGAATATAATGCTGTTCTTGTTGTTATGTGCCGTCGAGTCCGACCCGACTCATAGAGACCCCTCCTTGGGTTTCCGAGGCAGTATCACTACGGAAGTCGATTGCCCCATCTTCCCTCCAAGGAGTGGCTGGCTGGTGGGTTTGAACTGCCAGCCTTGTGGTTAGCAGTCAAGTGCCTTAGGCACTACGCTACCAGAGCTCCCAGAGAATATAATAGGAGACTATAAACATCTTTAAAACATCAGTGTTGGCATGACCTGGATCTTCCTTGCCACCTTTAGAAAGAAAACAACTCAGACCACTAGCCAGAGTGCCGGCAGAAATGGGAGGGGAAATACCAATTTTGTCAGGGAGACATAACCTTCCTTTAGCTGCTATATGGAGTTAATTAAAGAGTCCTCTAACTTGCAGAATTGGAAAGAAAAAGCCGCACAAATATCTTGTCACCCAAATTCATATGATTATAAAGCTGAGTTTTAGCAGAAGGCATGCTAGATACTTCATATACAAAAGCAATGACCTACAAGCTGAGATATGATTTATATCTTCCGTTTCTCCCATACTCACGGCTTCAAATGACCTTAATGCAGTGGCTAATAATTAAAAGGAAGGGGCGAGTCACAGCACAGACCACTCTATGTAAATACATTCCTCAACATGGTTGCTTTCACATGGCACTGGACTAGAACAAATAGACTAGAAATCTACTAAGTTCTGAGGGAACTATTTGCTGACTTAGAAGGCAGCGGGCACCAGCCAATGACTAATGTTATTGTTATGTGCTGTCCAGTTGACGGGACTCATAGCGACCCCTCCTTGGGTTTCTGAGGCAGTATCACTCCGAAAGTAGATTGCCCAACCTTCCTTCCCAGGAGTGACTGCTAGGTTAATGACTACTCAATCCTTAATGCAATCCAAAGGTCCCTAAACCAATGCCAGCAGAAAGTGTAACTGAAATGTATGCAAACCCCAGAAAGATATGCTCTCCAATGTGACTCAGATGTGAGTATGGAGACTAATGCGCCAGGAAGTACTGCCCGGGGAGAAGCATCTGGGCCCGTGAAGGGGAAATGGATAGAGGACACAGACCTTGTCTGTCTGCAGCGTTTACCAACTAAATCGCTCATTTGCAGAGCAGGGAGTCCTCATCATTCCTGTCCAAAAGGATTTGGTAATTACTCTGGAAAAACAACTGTGAGTGTTTCTTGGTGACTGTGTAGCCACTAAGTCAACCTTTAACTATTTATTTATTTGTTGTTGTTGTTGTTATTATGTGCCGTCGAGTCGGCCCCCGATTCATAGCGACCCCTCCTTGGGTTTCCGAGGCAGTATCACTACGAAAGTAGGATTGCCCAACCTTCCTTCCGGGGAGTGGCTGGTGGGTTTGAACCGCCAGATTTATTTAGCTTATTTAAATGAGAAAAAAAGAAAGGCAAAGTTGCCTTCTTAAGCCACTGCTATTTGGTTTTATTTTATATGCTATTGGACTTAATGCTAATTAATATAAAATATAATTGATAGAAAAAATTACAAAGCATTTAAATTTAAGAAGAAATATATTAAATAGATAAGTATATTTAAGGAGCTCTGGTAGTGTAGTTCTTAAGGCATTTGGCTGTTAACCAAAAGGTCAGTGGTTTGAACCCACCAGCTGCTCCACTGAAGAAAGATGAGGCAGTCTGCTTCCATAAAGATTTGCAGCCTTGGAAACCCAATGGGGATCATTCTGAGTTGGAATTGACTCGATGGCAGTGAGTTTTGTTTATAGGTATGCTCACACAGACATATGAAGATGTCAAAAAAGATCACATAGTAAAATATGTCTTGAGTTGCAACATAATACATAATAAAACAGTATCTTGTTATATGACAATATAACAATACATAGTGTGACTAAGCTAAGATCAAATATATCTCCCATCTCAAAAAAGTAATCCAAGCAGATTGCTTTTTAAAACAAATACCAGTTCTAGGATGAGAACAAATGATGCACCTAAAACAAAAGGATTCATAAAAGTTAAAAACAAGAGAATAGAAAAAAGTAAATAATGCAGTAGTTATGACATTAATATCAGACAAGTATGATTCAGAATAAAAACCACCCAACCATGAAATGATGAAAGCTTTGTAATACTGAAGAGAGAAATTTCCAGTGACCACATAACAATCACATAAAGAGCTACATCCCAGATTGCTGGAGCATCAATATTAACAGATAAATTACAGGAGATTCAAGATGAAACAGGCAGCAGCATATTGGTGGTAAAACACTGTAATTCACCTGTCTCAATTTGTGTCCAATTACATGGAGAAAAAAATAAATAAAATAAGTAAAGACAAAGATGATTCAAATGACAGTTATTCAAAATAACAGAATTATGTGATATAGCCACTTTATTTATAATATATAGCTTAAAATATTTACATTAACAAATGAGAAAGAACAAAAATTAAGCATCCAGCTCAAGAAGTTAAAGGAAAAAAGAAACCAAGCTTTAGGAAATCAGAAGTAAATTAATACAAAACCAAAAAAAAAAAAAACTCACTGCCATCAAGTCAATTCTGACTCACAGTGACCTCCTTTGGGTTTCCGAGGTAGTAAATCTTTATGGAAGTAGATTGCCCCATCTTCCTTCCCTGGAGTGGCTGGTGGGTTTGAACAGCCAACCTTCTGGTTAGCAGTCAAATGTCTTAGGCACTACACCACCAGATGAACAAATTTTAATTAATTAGAAAACAAATACAGATAGCACTAATTTTTTTAAAAAAATCCAAATGCCAGTTACTTGAACCAAGTTTTTAGTTCTTCTAGTCCTTTTGAAGAAATAGATAGTGCCTGGCTACCAATGACAACCATTTGGAAAAAGATCAAAATTCAAGACCCTGGATAGAGAGGGAGAAAAAATGTGGAACAAAATTTAAAAACATAAAAAGACCAGATTTGCTGGTCAGTTAAAGACTGGTGAAACTCCGGATACTATGGCTCTAAGTCATCCTTAGGGCCTGGAATTGAACTCACTCCTGTGGCTTAACTTTCAGCCAAACAATAGACAGACCTATGAGCTGAAAAACTACACTAGGGAAATGTACTTCTTAGAACAATTAATGATGGGAAATCAGAAAGGCAGCATTTGCACAGGGAGAAAAGTAGGGAGGCAAGAATGCATAGGCAAGAAGGACACAGGGGAAGGGTAACCACGGGGAGGAAGTGGGAGCAGGAAAAAAAGAACACCTTTTAAAACTACATTTTTCATATTTTGACGATTAAACCATGTGAACATATTGCCTAATCAAGAATTAAAACAATAATACCACTATAACAATTCAAAGGCGTACATTAAAAGATTGGCTTTTTTTCAATCATTTCCTCACCTAGGGCACACCAAGGTTGAGAGGTGCCTGATGCCATTGGTTAATGGACATGTAATGTAACCAATGACTATTTCTCCACATGTTGAATGGTTTTGCTCTTTCAGTATTTTATTCAAAGTCTTTTCACCATATTAATAAGTTATTTCAATGTATTGCTTTAACGTTATAGTTAGCATGTATAGAAATATAATTAACATGAAATACTTAAAATTATGCACAAAGTTAGACAACTCACAGCTTACTTCTGAACTTTTTAAAGAGATTAAAGAGACAAATACGCAAGTATGTTCAGAAAGAGGAAAATTCCTTCATAGTAAGATAGAGGGAGTTCAGTCATGTCAGTTTATTAAACATAATTATTTATAAAATTATTTGTGACACTCCCATGAAAGACATATTTGAGTCATTTCTTAAAAATTTCCATCCTCCTTAATCTTTTATCCTCCATTAATTTAAAAAGTACTCAAATGAGCTTGGGATCCAGCTTAAGCCAACAAAAAACAAACTCTGTTGTTTGAGGTACAAAATGGGTTATAAATTTACCTGAGATTCTCATGGTGATAATTTGTACAGATATTTTCTAATTTCTTAAGAGAGATCTAAAGACGTGCTTCTTATTAGTTTTAAGGCTATTGCTGGAAATTTGCCCCCTGGGAATTAAATTTCCTCTTAATTGGACTTGATTGAAAGTCATACCTGAGCAAGTAATTTTGGCATCTTCATAATGATCACAGAGAAGTCCACCCCACTGCCAGTTCTTGCAGTCCCACAGAGAGGTTTCATTTCCTTCACAACTGCTTACAAACAGCCATATGTTTGTGGCCTTGACTTTGGAATAAGGTTGGTAGGTTGTTTTGAGCGCAGATCCACATCCCAGTTGCTTGCAAACCACATTGGCTTCTTTCAGTCCCCAGTTTCTGTCACACACCTTCCCTAACAAAGTTTGAATTTTCACCTCCACTGTCCCAGCACATTGGCTACCTCCACCTACAAGCCTCAGCTCCAGATCTGATCCATCTGCAAAAGAGACGTAAACTTAGGTCACAGATCCTAAACAGAGGTTGGCTCCCAAAGGATATATATACATTTTTTATCTTGCTCCTTCCCAGATACTGAGACACTTATTTATCTCCTGGCTTCTTTAGACAGCAAATAGAGATCATGCATTTGGTTAGAAATGGGATTGGAGTTCCAAGGGTTAATTAATTGTCAGTGGTTGAAAAATATGAACAAGTCACATGTAAAAGGGTGATCTATGAATGCTCATCTCTCTAAACTCCAGGTAAATTTAGAATTCCAAATGTGGTCCCTAAGAACAGTCTGAATCATTGCTACAGAAAACAGAGTCAGACAACCTTCCAACCCAGTCAAATAAAGAACATAAATAAAGATTAAAACCAAATAAACCAAACCTGTTGCTATTGAGTAAATTCCAACTTATGGCAACCCCATATGTTACGGAGTAGAACTTCTCCATAGGGTTATCTTGGCTGTAATCTTCATGCAGGGACACTGCCAAGCCCTCTGTGGAACGGCTGGATGAGTTTGAACCATTAACCTTTAGGTTAGTAGTCATAAATCACTTTAATATTTTTATGTCTCACATCGCCCTATTCCTATTCCTACTCCCTGCCTCTCTGGTTTTCTTTTATTTCTTTCTTTCTCTTATTTTATTTTTTAACTTACCAGAACATGTCACTCCAGCATCTTCATTATGGTTGCAATAATGCTTTCCCCATTCACGGTGTTTACACTGCCAGAGAGCGGATTCATGCCCTTGGCAGGAAACACTATCAAGCCAAATGGGTCCAGATCCCTCGCTGGCGTTAACTCGTCCAATCCCAGTGAAGGTATTTGGACATCCCAGTTGTTTACATGTCACAGCAGCATCACTACTGTCCCAGCCATCATCACACACTGTCCCCCATTCTCCTTGGAATTTCACTTCCAATCTTCCTGAACATTTAGTGACTCCATCTACTACTCTCAAGTTCAGATCTGATCCCTCTGTGAAGGACACAAAACATATCAATGATAAGGAATCAGGAACAAGGGGACTATAAACTACTGTACCTGAGATGAGTAAAGGAAGAAGGAAGATAGAGTAAACAACGGTATACCACCACTAAAAATTTAAAGATGGGAGGAGAGTGGATTAGTCAAGAAGACACGATGTTTCAGTATAAAGAACACACACTACAACAAGAGTTTCTAACAGAAGATCCAGGGGCTGGATTTAGCTAACAAAACAAATAAAATCTCACAGTCGCCCTTGAGTCAATTCTGATTCATGGTGACCCATGAGTTTCAGAGTAGAACTGTTCTATAGGGTTTACACCAGGCTACTTTGTGACCTTTATGACTTTGCAATTACTACTCTTATCTTCTCTTATCCCTCAAAACACAGACCTAGATTCTGATTATTATCCTGTGATAAATAAACATCTTTTTCCTCTGGCAATTTCAATTTCTGTTGCCACAATACCAGAGCTCCTAGTGATGCCTCCGCATGGGTAAAGCACACTGAGAAGAAATGTGTTGATTGGGGCTTAGTAAGTTTGGATGGGTAAAGAAAGACAGAAGATGCATTCTTTTTTCCTACCCAAAATTCCTTTCACTTTCTTCTGCTAACAAGATCCATCTTTCCTGTAGGAATCCCATTCTTTGTGTTTCAAGCTATTAATGGTTACCTTGATCCACGTGAAAAAATCAAACAAACAAACACTAAGAAATGGAGAAAAAGATCGAACCCTGATGACACAGCTAAGCACTTGAATCCAGCTATACCTAAAGCTCTCTGTACCTCCAGATTGCCTAGTATAGTGAACCAGAGTTCTCTTATTTTGAAATTAGTCTGGATTGGGTTTCCTTCATGTGAAGAAAAAGATGCCTGGTGAAGACAGTGGATTTTTTTTACTCTAATTATAGCAGAACTTCAGGGAAAAAGGAAGAGTGGTGACCCTGCACATACAAACCCATTGGCCCCATCCAATGATCTAAGTGTGAGGTCTAAGAGTTTCTACACAGACCCAGGACATAGTCATACCATAGCCCAAGCAGAAATGAGATTTTAATAGGAAACCAAAATGTATATATATTTTTTTCTATAGTGTGATTCAGTGAATTTGAATTAATGACTTGGGAAGGATTGGGTAAATATAGCTAAAGAAAAGACTTTCATGGATAAGAAGATGATAAAGGGAGAGATACATTCTTAAAAACTTATCCAGAACAAAATGTCCTGGTTAAGTTTTTGTAAAAACACAAAAACAAAAAAATCAACTAAATTCTTCCCTAAACACTTCCTTCTACCCTTATCCCGGATCTCAATCTCATCATTCATCCATCTTCTTCTGACCTATTTATCCTAATTTTAGTTAAGGTTAACACTCCACAGTTATCAGAACTGTAGCCTGAAATGAGTTGATAATGAAGTGACAAAGGAAGCAGATTTCATTATCTTCTTTTTGTTGTTGTTATTGTCAATAATTTTTTTTTCTACCTTTCCCTTCACCCAAATTCATGTGTCTGCCCTCTCGTTGGTGGTTTACCATCCCTTCATCTCTCCCCACCATCAAACTCAAAAACTCACTGCTGTTGAGTCAATTCCGACTCATAGTGATCCCTCCTTGGGTTTCTGAGGCGGTATCTCTACAGAAGTAGATTACCCAGCCTTCTATCTGAGCCCCACCATCAAAGAATATATATATAGTGAAACCCTTTTCTTGACTTTTTGTAATAGTGGGCTCATAAATATTTGTCCTTTTGTGATTGACTAATTTCATTCACCATAATGGCCTCTAAGTTCATCCTTGTTATAGATGTTCATTATGTTCTTAAGAGTTTGGACTTTTATAACTATCACCCCTTTCTGTTGTCCTATCATAGAGAACAGAATAAAGTTGGATCTGTCCTTACCTAAGCAGATCACTCCAACATCCTCAGCATGATCACAATTGTGCTTTCCCCATCCTTCGTGTTTGCAGTTCCAGAGAGCTGACTCATTTCCATTGCACGCCAGATCATCAAACCAGATTGGTCCAGAGCCTTCTCCAAAACCAGCTGAACCAGAGAAACTGACAGCACTTCCACATTCAAGTTGTTTACAAACCACAGAAGCATGATCTATGTTGAAACTATCATCACACACTGTTCCCCACTGTTCTTGGAATTTGACCTCTATTCTTCCTGAACAACGGTTTCCTCCATTCACCAGCCTCATCTTCAAATCACTTCCATCTAGAGCAGAGATAAACCCAGAGTTCAGAAGTGATATTCATTCGATGTGATTTTAGAAAATAAGGCTCCTTTGGACTATTGGGACTTGATCTTGTCCTTAAAATGTTTCATTCATTTTGGATGCTGCCCAGGCCCTCATATTGCAGAATTTCCTTTTGTTGGAAATAAATGAACAAATAGGACTTTCATCTACATCTACTTACTAAGGAAAATGCTTATAAAGTTTACTTCCTGTTTTTTTTTCTTCCATTACTGGGATAAACCCTCTTATGTAGAAATAGATAATTTGACTAAAATTATTTCTTTTGAAAACCAAGAAAAATAAAATTGGCTCATATAACAAAGTTGTAAAAATGAGCAGCTAGTCATTTGTTGAATATTTAAAATCTCCATTTTAATCGTCTCTATTACAAAGAGTGAAGAGCAACAGTGAATAATTGTCTAAAATTGAATTAGAAATTAGAGAGTAGAGAAAAAGCAAAGATAAAAATGCACAGGCACACATAATATTTTGCAAAAAGACACTTGCGGTATACCAAATTCTTAAAAATGAAAGAAAAAGGAATCAATTGAAATAGCTTGTTTCTTGATGTCAATTTTATGTTTCAAGCAATTTTTTTTTCACTCAAAAAGTTACCTAGTACCATGTTCAGTGACAAACAACTTTTGCATAAAGAAAATTTTCCTTATATATTATCCCTTAGAATTTCTATGATGAGAAAAAGAGAAATGGAGAAAAGAGAAAAAGATTTGGGATAAGATTTTGGGACACCTGAAAAATAAAATCTGTAGGTGACCTTAAAAGCAAATTCTATATGTGGTTGAACAAAATGTTTTGAGACTGTTCCTTGAGATAATTCAATTTTAAAAGTACTAAAACCAAAAGTCAAAGACTTCCACTTAGTTTTTTGATTATGGACTAGCAACAATAGCTCACAATGACTGTGCCAATACATCGTGTAGAGGAACTTCCTCTTTTTTGCTGACCTTCTAATTTACCAAGGAGCTCTGGTAGCATAGTGCCTAAGGCATTTGACTGCTAACCAGAAGGCTGGCAGTTCAAACCCATCAGCCACTCCTCGGAAGGAAGATTGGGCGAAGATTGGACAATCTACTTCCAAGGTGATACTGCCTCAGAAACCCAAGGAGGGGTCGCTATGAATTGAATCCCACTCGATGGCAGTGAATTTTTTTTTTTTTTTCCCTACTTTACCGAGTGTGATATCATTCTCTAGGGACTGGTCCTTTCTGACAATATGATCAAAGTAGGTGAGATGAAGTCTTCTATTCTTGGTTCTAAGCAGCATTCCAGCTACATTTTCTCCAGGACAGATTTGTTAGTTCTTCTCACAGTCCATGGTATTTTCAGTATTCTTTGCCAATACCAGCTTTCGCATGCATATGAGGCAGTTGAAAAGACCATGGTTGGGTTAGGGCACCTTAGTCTTTAAAGTGACATCTTTACTCCTTAACACTTTAAAGAGGTCTTTTGCAGCAGATTTGCCCAGTGCAATAGGGCAGAAATATGACCTTTGGATTTGTCATCAGAAAGGACCGATACATAGCTTTCTGGATTATCGTGAGGTCATGAGGTCAACTGACATAAAACTTAAGAAAATGTGTTGTAATTTAAAACCACTATTTAAACCAAATAAATAGCATTGAATGCTGGAAAAAAGCAATTACAATTTGTAAAACATTCTTCCTCCAGCAAAGGAAGAAAGTAATAGTCTTAAAGATATTTGTTTCTTAATCCAGTAAATTGATTATTAATGAATAGACAACAGAAGATAATGATTTATAGGTCAGTGCATTAAAACAGCATGTCATTAGGAAAGAAGACTAGGAGTTAACTTAGATGTCCTGATAGTTTTATCTAAGTGTAGGAGGTTACATTAAACCAGAAACACTGAACATATAGCCATCCAGTCAATGCTGACTCATAGCAACACTATAGGACAGAGTAGAACTGTCCCAAAGGGATTCTAAGGCTATAAATCTTTACAAAAGCAGACTGCCACATCTTTCTCCCATGAGTGGGTGGTGGTTCAAACCACTGATCTTTAGGTTAGCAACTGATTAACCACTGCATTACTATGGTTCCATAAGAGGTTATAGTTGTTGTTGTTGTTGTTGTTATGTACCGTCGAGTCGGACCCGACTCATAGCAACCCCTCCTTGGGTTTCCGAGGTGGTCACCACGGAAGTAGATTGCCCAACCTTCCTTCTGAGGAGTGGCTGGTGGGTTTGAACTGCCAGCCTTCTGGTTAGCAGTCAAGTGCCTTAGGCACTATGCTGCTACCAGAGCTCCCGGAAGTTATAGTAAGGTTACTAAATACAAAATTCAATCTAGTTATTTCTTCATTGACCATAGTGTCCAGAATCTCTTTGGACATTTTTTTCCCCCTTAATGGATGTTGCTATATGTTTTCTGCTCTCCTAGCTAAAGATTAGGTAATTTTATACTTAGACGAGATTATTTACATGAAAGTGGTTCCTTTTAATCTTGAAGCTCCCCTGCACTTTTTGTTTTTCAACAAGGCATTTCATTTCAATGCTTTACCATATGAAAGTCTTACCTGAACAGGTAACTCCAGCATCCTGTTGGTGAGTACAGTTATGCTTTCCCCACCCTTCATGTTTGCAGTCCCAGAGAGCTGATTCATTCCCTCCACAAGAAACATGGTCCATCCAGATGTGTCCTGAACCTGCACTGGAATTAGTCCATCCAGTGGCTTTGATAGCAATTGGACATCCCAGTTGCCTACAAATCACAGAGACCTCTTCCATGCCCCAGTCATTATTGCACACTGTTCCCCATTCTCCCTGGACTTTTATCTCTACTCTTCCAGTACACCTGTTTTCACCAGATGCTAGCCTCAGCTCCTTCTCTGTTCCTCCTACAACAAAAGGTGAAGACAATAATTGGTCAAGGTCACAAAAAGTATGTAGAGAATTATTATTCTTTAAATTACTTATTTATATTTCAAAGACAGGTTTAAGAACTAAGCCTAGCCCCACCATGACACAATAGGAGAAAACTATTTCATAGGCATTCAAATATAAATACCATTTCAAGCTTCACATTAAACTATGACATAAAAATTTAGGAACCTGGTGATCTCACTGGAATATACCTGCATTTCCTCTCTCAATAATTTTTTTAGATAAAATTTGGTATTTGAGTTTATTGAATTTTTCCTAAAATTCATTTTTGTCCCAATTAGTCTGAGAATACACCTACTCTGTGTTTTTCCCTATTTTTCACCTAGACATTACTTCTAATCTCTATGTAAGATATATATTTTCCATGAGAAAGCTTATTTTATTTTGGGGAAAATCATGTGAATATTCTGTTCATTCATTTGTGTCATATGCTTAGGTTCTTATATGTTTTTCATATCTGATCCTTTAAATCTGTGAGGCATGTTACCTAGTTTTAAGTGCTATCCAGACTTCAGGAGGACTATTTGCTTTTAAATTATTCTCTGAGTGGTCTAAAACTACAAGTAAATTTTACAAAGCACTCACCAAGAGAACTGGTGATAAAACATGCACTGAGAAGTGACACCATAGCAATAGCAAATGGTCTCAAGTGGAGAAAAAATCTTCTTAAGTCTGTGGACAAAAGGAAGAAAGCATTAGAATAATTTTCCAAAAAAAAAAAGAGATTTGAGAGAAGACAGATGTTTTCAGAGGCTTGAGGTTAAAAAAGAAGCTCAAACCAAGAAATAAAACTCTTCCTTCTGAAAGGCAAAGCAAACAGGAAAAATCCCTACCCAGAATCATACAGTTTCAATGAAATATCTTTGAAAACATTCATGTTTATAGGTAATCTAGAGATGGAAGAGCAGAAGAAAGTCAAGGGTGGAAAAATTTTTGTAAGAACAACCTTAAAACCTGGAAAATGGAAAAAACATCAACATAACCAAAAAGTGGGCAGTTTTCCCTGCAGACACAGGACAGTTTCCCTGAGATTTCTATATTCTCTGTTCCCCCAACATTCCACTATCAATACCTCCAAACCTACTGAGTCCATGCTGCAGGATGGTAAGTTCCATGAGGGAATGATTATATTTATCTTATTTTATAGTTTCACCAATACTTGTCACGATGTCTGCCAAATAGTAGCTGAACAATTATAGATTGATGGATAAAGTGTAATGTTTAAGAACCAAAAACTTATTATCTCTGGATATATCATGAAATACTCTTAAACATTGTTGTCACTCTCATTTTTCCTCGTTACCCTAACCTAACAGTAATTTAAAAGTAAAAATGCTAAAAGACTTTAACATGTCCATATGAAACATAAAGTAGATGTCAGCATTCACAAGTGTTATTCCAAATTTCCCATAGGTGATTAAATTTCGATCTATATTCATTCCTACATATTCTAACTTTTCTAATGACTGTTGGTGACGTATTCAATATAGTTCAGCTAATTTCAGTTCCTTAGTTAATTTCACTCAGCAATTTTACTAAATTGATGCCAACCCTGATCTCCATCTCATATCTTTAACTTTGAATTGCTATAAATTAAAGGTAATACCATATAAGCTTAATAAGGAATAAGCTATTCCTTATTCCCTTCATATCAATCACCTTTAAATTATATCCATTGACAGTCAGACTAATTCTATACTCCATTAAAGGGCTAATGTAGAATAAATGAGAAATTTTTACCTGTAGATCTAGAATCTTCAAGTAGCACCATCCTAGATTTGTCCATTCTAAGGCTTTATGGTTTAGTGATTCCTAAATATTCTTATATTTTCCCCCCTGGATGTCCTCCTAAAGAAGACTTTTAAGAATTCTGAAATCTCCTCACTCCCACAAGAAATGGAAAGGCTACATAATAGAGGCGGAGCAAAGCAAAAGAGGGAAGTCATTGAAAGAGCTTAGGTTTCCTTCATACTAATGTTTTCTTCAATATGGGATATGAAACAACCAAAAGAAATTGAGAAATATTCTCCACAGATTTACAGAGAATAAGGGGAAATGTTAGCTCAGATGCTGCTGTTGTTGAATTGAATGCTTTCAATGTCTGCACTTTGTTTTGGTCTAATGAATGAGACACACGAAAAATTAGTAATTGTTATACAATTAATTGGGAGCTCTGGTGGCGTAGGGCCTAAGGCATTTGACTCTAACCAGAAGACTGGTGGTTCAAACCCACCAGTCACTCCTCAGAAGGAAGACTGGGCAATCTATTTCTGTAGAGATACCACTTCTGAAACCCAAGGAGGAGTCACTACGAGTCGAATCAACTAGAAGGCGGTGAGTTTTTCAGTTTAGCATCATACTTAATCTTGAAAGACTGCATGCTTGCCCCTTAATGTCAGGAACAAGACAAGAATGTCCATTCTCACCAATTCTATTCAACACTGTGTTGGAGATTTTACCCAGATCCATCAGCCAAGAAAAAGAAACACAAGCAGTTCCTAGGTTACAAAGGATGACTTAAGGACAACTCATACCCGCCTTTTAATGTTATGTAAATTTACCCTCCCTTTGAAAATACTGAACCAACCCTCACTTGCAACAAACTCTTCATCACAATCACCTTCACTTGCTGCACATGCAACTTTTAAATCATTGAAAAGACTTCAAATCTTTTCTTGAGCTAAAGTAAGACTAACTAATAACTGTATGCTCCTATTCCTTCTTATCCAAAAATTACACACTTAGGAAAGGATCTCTCGTTCATATGTCAGGACTGCCTTAAAAGACATCCTATTTAAAAGGAAGATGTGATTTTTTTTTTTTTTTAATAAATGATATGATCATCTATGGAGAAAATCTGATGGAATCTAAAAAAATCTACTAGAACTAATGATTGAGAATAGCAAGCTTTCAGAAGACAAGATCAACATGAAATATCAAGTAGCATAGTGGCTAAAGGCACTTGACCGCTAACCAGAAGGCTGGTGGTTCAAATCCACCAGCCACTCCTCGGAAGGAAGATGGGGCAATCTACTTCCGTAGTGATACTGCCTCGGAAACCCAAGGAGGGGTTGCTATGAGTCGGGTCAAACTCGACGGCACATAACAACAACAACAAACAATTAAAATTTTAAATTTTTTTAAAACTTCTATTTAGTATCAAGATTGTATATGACATTTATGTGTTTCAAAATCTGTGAATGTCTTGTGGTGGTGGTGGTGTTTGCCATTGAGTCGGACCCGACTCATAACAACCCCTCCTTGGATATCAGAGGTGGTATCACAACGGAAGTAGATTGGCCAACTTTCCTTCCGAAGAGTGCCTGGTGGCTTTGAACCACCAGGCTTCTGGTTAGCAGTCAAATGCTTTAGAATTCATAACTATGCATTATGAAGTACAAAATATTGCTGAGATAAATTAAAGAAGATATACATAAATGGAGAGATGTACTGTGTTCATGGCTTGGAAGACAACATTGTTAAGATGTTAAGTTGATGTATAAATTCAATGCAACCCAAATCAGTATCACAGCAGGTCTTTTTATAGTAAGAATTAAGAAACTGATTTAATCTGGTTAAAAATGTACCTGGAAAACAAAGCACCTAGAATAGCCAAAACAAATGTGAAAAAAAATGAACAAATTGGAGGACTAAAACTACCCTAAAACCACCAAAAAACCAAACTCACTGCTGTCAAGTTGGATCCAACTCATAGCAACCCCTCCTTAGGTTTCCATGGTGATATCACTACGGAAGTAGATTGCCCAATCTTCCTTCCGAAGAGTGGCTGGTGGGTTTGAACCAACAGCCTTCTGGTTAGCAGTCAGATGCCTTAGGCACTATGCCGCCAGAGCTCCCCCAAACTACCTTAGTCCAGACTAATTATAAAGCTACAGAAATCAAGACAGTGCAGTATTAGAATAAAATACATATATAGATGAATGAAGCAGTATAGAGAATCCAGAAATGGACTGACACATATATGACCACTAATTTTTGACAAAGAATAATCTTTTTGAGAAACAAAGCAGCAACAATTGGATATCCATGTGCAGTAAGATGAATTTCACTTTTCACACTATACAAAAATATTAATTCAAAATGAATCACAGATATAAATCTACAACCTAAAACTATAAAAAATCTAGAAGACAGCACAGGAGAAATTTTTGTGATTTTAGGTTCCACAAGAGAAAGATGGTGTAATATGCTTCCATAAAGATTTACAGTGTTGGAACCCCAATTGGGGTCTCTATGAATCAGAATCAACTCAATAGCAGTGAGGTTTTTCAGTTTAAGGTTAGACAAAGATTTCCTAAAAATGATACCAAAAATGTGAATCATAACGTAACATTTTGATAAATTGTGCTTCATCAAAATTAGAAAAGTTCTGCTCTTCAAAAATCACTTTTAAATGATGATCAACTTCTGCTGCTTGTGCATTTTGGGTGGTGCTTTATTTTTATGATATTTATGCCATATTGATATTTATAAATATTTATAAATCAGGTCCCTAGGTTTGCCCCTATTTTATCTTTGATGAACTTTTGAGTTTTACATGTAGGTCTTTGATCCATCTTGAGTTAGTTTTTGTGTATGGTGTGAGATATGGATCTTACTTCATTTTTCTGCAAATGAATATCCAATTTTGCCAGTACGATTTGTTAAAGAGGCTGTCTCTCCCCCCATTTAATGGGTTTCAGCTGTTTGTCAAAAATTTGCTATCCATAGATGGATGGGTCTATTTCTGGATTCTCAATTCTGTTGCACTGGTCTATTTGTCTATCATTGTACCAGTACCATGTTCTTTTAACTATTGTGGCTGTATCTTAAAAATAAAAAAGTCAAACCAAACTCACTGCTGTTGAGTTGATTGTGACTTATAGTGACCCTTCCTTGGGTTTTCGAGGCGGTATCTCTACGGAGTAGATTGCCCAATCTTCCTTCCAAGGAGTGGCTGGTGGGTTTAAACCACCAGCCTTCTTGTTAGAAGTCACGTGTGTCTGTATAGGAGTGTGAAACCTCCTAGTTTGTTTTTCTTCTTTAACAATGCTTTGCTTATCTGAAGTCTCTTTCCTTTTGATATAAATAAAGTCAGTAATTGATTTTTCCATGTCCTTAAAGAATGTTGATGGAATTTGGATTGGAATTGCATTGAATACATAGATTGCTTTGGGGAGTATTGACATTTTCACAATATTCAGTCTTCCTATCCATGAACATGGCATGTTCTTCCATTTATACAGGTCTCCTATAGTTTCTTGTAGCAGTGTTTTGTAGTTTTTTTTGTATAGGTCTTTTATGTCCCTGGTAAGATTTATTCTAAGTATTTTATCTATACCTATTGTGAATGGTGTTGTTTTCCTTATTTCCTTTTCAAATGTCTCTTTATTGATGTAGAGGAATCCAGCTGATTTTTTTTTATGTTGATCCTGTACCCTGCCACTTTGCTGAATCTTTCTACTAGTTCCAGTAATTTTCTTGCTGAGTGTCTCGGGTTTTCCACGTATAGGATATGTCATCTGCAAATAGAGATAGCTTTACTTCTTCTTTGCCAATTTGGATGCCTTGTATTTCTCTTTCTTGCCTTATTACCCTGACCAGGAATTCCAATGCAATGTTGAATAGAAGTGGTGATAGAGGGCATCCTTGTCTGGTTTCCGTTTGCAAGGGGAATGTTTGCACAAGCAGCAGAAGAGAAACTAGATGACTAGGACCTTCTGAAAATTAAATTCTTATGTACATTGAAAGACTTCTTCAAAAGAATAAAAAGAGAACCTACAGACTGTGAAAAAATATTTGGCTACAACATATCCAACAAGGGACTTATGTCTAACATTTATAAAAAAACCTCCAACACCTCAACATCAAAAACACAGAGTCCAATTCAAAAATGGGCAAAGGACATGAACAAATACTTCACTAAAGAAGATACACAGGTGGCCAACAAAGACATGAGGAAATGCTCATGATCATTAGCCATTACAGAGATGCTAATCAAAACAACAATAAGATATCACCTCACATCAGCAATATCAGTGTTCATCGAGACAGGAAACAACAAATGCTGTTGAATATGTGGAGAGAATGGAATCTTATACACTGCTGGTGGGACCATAAAATGGTACAGCCACTGTGGAAAATGGTATGGCATTTCCTTTAAAAGTTAGAAACAGAAATGCCATTTGCTCCAGCAATCCCACTACTATGAATATATCCTAAAGAGATGAGCTCCAGGACACAAATACATATAGTCACACCCATGTTCAGCACTATTCACTATAGCAAAGAGATGGAAACAAGCTAAGTGCCCATCAACAGATGAATGGAAAACCAAACTGTGGTACATATACACAATGGACTACTGTACAACATAAAAGAATAATGAAGAATTTGCAAATCATCTCATAATGTGGATGAACTTGGAGGACATTATGCTGAGTGAAATAAGTCAATCATAGAAGGACAAATATTGTCTGGGTCCGTTATTATAAAAAGTCAAGAAAAGGCTTACCCAGGGAAGGAAATTTACTTTGTTGATTACCAGGGGTGGGAGGGAAAGGAAGGAAAATTACTGACTAGTTAAGAGTCATATGTAGATTTGGGTGAAGGAAAAGGCAGTATAGCAAAAGTGCATGACCAACATAATAACAATAGGGAAAAGGAGGACATAGAAGGTGCACAGAAGGTATGGACAGCAGAGGCAAATACTATTACATACAAAATACTGCATTATCAGTAACAACAAACACTAGTCTATAGGTGGACACACCAGCAGACAGGTGT